TTGTATGGTTGATTCTTAAATACGATGTGTTATTTTAGTTCCTTTTGGTTCTAAAAATGGCCTTGTTTAAAATTCTGATGATTAAATTACATGGAGAAAATTTATTTTTCACTTACACCACGATTGTTTGATTTCTATTTCTATCTGTGTTGCTTTCCGGGGTCTAATAATACTATGGGTTTTTTGAGACTTAATATTTCAAGATTTTGACTCTGAATGACATAGCAAAAACTATTAGAGGTAATGCTAAACCAAAATAGCAACATACTTTGAAGATATTTAGATATGATGGAGTGTGGTTTTACAAGTAGAATAAAATAATATGCATTCAGATTTAATTTAGTTATGGAAATGAGGTATTTATTTCAAGAAAATTGGCATATTATAAAACAATTGGTATGAAACCTGACTCTTTATTTGGCATGTGAAATATTTTATACTAAATATTTCCAACAGATACTCCTGTTTTTCAGGGGTTGACTTATTTATTTAGCTCGTTCTTTTACCACAGTGATTTAGAATGGAAAATAGTGGATTTAAATCAGCTTAATGTATCTTATTTGATAGAAAGATGCCTATATTAGGCTTTCTTGCACAGACTGATTTTAGCGGAAAACATCCTGGGTTTTTTTGGTAAGATAAATTGCAAATATTAAATGAATTTAGATGTGCCGGATGTTTATTACTTTTATTCTTGATTACAGTACTTCTGAAATTGCTTAGAAAATTCTAATAAGGCAACATGATATCAGATTGGCATATTCCTTTTTAAAAATACAATATTTATGCTTTCGTTACTTGCTCTGAATGTTATTACATTAATTTTTATAAAGAAATGTTGATTAACAATACTAAAACCATAAAACAATGAGGTAAAAATGTAATATAGAATATAAAATAAATATTAACCACAATATGATTATGTAAACATATGAGTATGACCTACATCTGATCCTACTGGCTCTTGCTAATAGCCAATTCCTGATGTTAAAGAGGAGTAGCCACAGTTAAGTGTGGAGTCTACAGATATTTTTTTTGTATTTCGTAGATAGCAAGACTACTGTGGGCATATTTGGCTGCAGTATCTTATTTTACTGACATCTCAGAGACATTAAAAAAAACCTGTGGT